TATGAGAATATATATATGAGAGTATTTTTATATATATATATGAGAACCTATATAATGAGCTCACAAGTTGTTCCACAGGTGATAGACCTCTCACTACATTCAGATTTTTTCTTCTTCCATTCATGTCAGATGCAATATCAGACAAAGCGATGCATTTCATGTCATGTTGTTGATGTTGTTACTTAGCTAATTTTGTGTGTGTATGTATTTATATATATGTGCTCTGTGTGTATGCATATATAAGTTCTATGTATTGGAGAGGCCTTTAAATGTGACTTTACAGTGATGCAAAATGAAATTTAAGAAGATGATTGAAATGTTGATATATTTGTGTGGATAGTTTTTTAAAGACAGAAGAGACTATAGTTCCTTTATGTTTGATTTGGAAGTCTTGAGGCTTCTGTGATGCTTAGTGTTGAATTTCTTTGTGAACCTCGAAATGCCAGTGTGAACTACAGTGTAACTTCAGAGCCTGTAATGATTGATATTTACTGGTACAAATGTAATTTCAAGTAGTTTCCAGCAGTTATCATTTGAACAGTATTCATTATCTTTCAGACGGTTTTAAACAGCCTTACTGTAGTTGTGTGTATCAGGTACTAATCAGAAAAATGTTATGAGTTTGAATTTTCTCTGGCTTTGAAAGAAAGAGAGATATATATATAAATAATGGTGTACAAACATATGCGAACTAGTAGCAAATAAACTCTGGACATGGGTTTGGTATGTCATCTGGATTTTTTTCTTTTGTCTTTTAGTTTTAAATTGAAGAGAAAATGTCACTTTACGATGACCTGGGAGTTGAGACCAGCGATTCTAAAACAGAAGGCTGGTCCAAAAATTTCAAGCTGCTGCAGTCTCAATTGCAGGTGAAGAAGGCAGCTCTCACGCAAGCAAAGGTATTGTCCCTTTGTAATTTTGCTTTCTGTTCTTCAAAATTCTTTCGTGTTTGGAGCACTGAGGAAAATTTGTGACCTTAGAATACCAGTTTGGGGTAATTTTGCTGGGATTTGTCTGTGAGTTTGTAACAAGGAGCCTAGCAAAACTGAGTGGGGGGGAAAGGAAAATGCATGTTTCTTGAAGTCTGTTAAAGGGGTCTTGCAAAATTAAACCTGAATTAGGAACTGGTGTGTGCACTGCAAGCCTCAGCTCTTCTGACTAGGAGAGCCGAAAGTTCATCTTCGAATCTAATTTGGAAGATAATGAGATTAAGGTTATTTTTTTTAAGTAAGAGTCATACTGTGATTGACAGTTGGCGGTACCACCGCCACAAAGCCGCTGGGCATTATTGGCATTTTGCATCTTATGTTTGCATCGTTTTCTGCTTTCTATTTAAAAAGCTTTTGGTGATAAAATGCACATCGTTGTGCATTAGGAATTTTTGCAGAAAGTATTTCCAGTGTACATGAAAGGAAGGAGTGCAAGATAATTTCTTGAGCTTCAAGTGACAGAGCCATTTGCTCTTTTTATTGCTACAGTATGTCACCCTTTTTCTTTAAGCAGTGTTGGTATTTTGGTTCGAGCAGGGCGAGTGTTTTTTGTGGTGTGTAGGTTCTAGAGAGAGATTGTTTAATTTAAAAAAGTAGTAGCAGAGATACCAGGTACTCAAGTAGGCACAGCTTTTTTTTTTTTGCCACAGGAATTACTCCTGATTTATGCTGCTAAAATTGAGGGCAGGATTTAGTTGATATTTGGAACAACCTGCATGAATGAAATCTAAATGGCTGCTATATTAGATATATTCTTTGCATAGCTGATGTGCAGTGTATGCATAGACTAATAGAATAATAGAGTAGGATTAGAAAATGTGGAGTTTAGAATAGATTAATACATTTTAACAGATAATAAAATATGAAGAAGAGTAGATCTTCAGAAGTCTGAGCCCCTTCTGGAAAAAAAGAAACAACAAACCCACTCAATTCAAACGCATCTGAAGAGATCACCTGAATTTTTAATGTGTGTTTTTGGTCCTAGTCCAAACCTAGGACCATTCATCTACCCCTGTATGTTCTGGCGCATGCACAGGCAAAGTCTGATCTCACTCACTTAAAAAGAGGAAGGTATGCGCTGGTTTCACCGAAGCATTCTTTGAAACATTGCATCAGATCTGTATTGGTGTAGCAGCTCTTTAACCGTAGTTGGCAAGCATCTGTCTTGGAACTGAGTGGCCTTTGCCACCACTAGAATATGGCATATGTTATCCGTGTCAAGGTTCATTAGAAATTATGTGAATTACTCTATGTCAGTTAACTGAAGATAAATGATATTTTGAGTTTTGCACAGTGACGAATTTGAGACGGTGGTTTTCGTACTTTTTAAAAAAGAATTGGAGGTACCAGGTGCAAGTACATAAAGCAAGCTGGTTTTTAGAAAACTGTTCCGTTATCTTTTTTTAGAAACTTTGTGTTTTGGTGATTTTTCAGAGTCAGAGAACAAAACAAACAACGGTCCTTGCTCCGGTGATTGACCTGAAACGAGGCAGCTCTTCTGATGAGAGGCAGATTGTGGACACACCACCTCATGTAGCAGCTGGGTTAAAGGTGAGACCAAGGCAGCTAAAAAGTCCAGCTGTTAACAGATGCTTTGGATTGGAATTCTTTGACTGCAGTCTGTATTTTTATTTTTCCATCATCTTCCCTAGTGATTAAAGAAATGATGATTTTTCTGTAATTCCCTCTGTTCAGAGGTTCTTTAATTAATGAATGTTTCTATACAGATTTTCATGTGATACAACATTGAATTACTAAGGTTAATGTGCACTTAAAATAAAACAGAGTTCCTAACATGTTTTTCCTGGACAACTTCAAAGTACTTTGCAAGACAGCAACTTGAATTAATGGGTTTTGAAAAGTCCTTGTCCGCACTGGTTTACTGCTGCTTTGTATTTGGCAGAGGAGGTGGGTGGGAGTGATTCTTTCTTCATGGAAACAAAAAATTGAGATAATGAGAGACTGGATGAAATATTCGTTTCAATAAAGCAAAGATTTCTTCTAGTACCAGTGGGATTAAGATATTATCTAGCATTATAGAAGTCAGGAATTCAGTTTCATGGTGTTGAGAGTGAGAAGGAATTGTTAAACTCTTGGTGTCCAACCAGATGCTGTTTCCAGATCTTAACTGAAAATACTCCTTTTTCTTGTCTAAGGATCCTGTTCCTAGTGGTTTTTCTGCAGGAGAAGTCTTGATTCCTTTGGCGGATGAGTATGATCCCATGTTCCCAAATGACTATGAGAAAGTGGTGAAACGTCAAAGAGAGGAACGACAGAGGCAGCGTGAGCTGGAGAGGCAAAAGGAGATTGAAGAAAGAGAAAAGTAAGGCTTTTGTTTAAACTCATGGCATATTGACAGATGAAGAATAGAAAAATGGATTTGTTTATTTTTATCCTTCAGAACAATATGAGGAGCGGCTGAGGGAACTGGGGTTGTTTAGCCTGGAGAAGAGAAGGCTGAGGGGAGACCTCATCACCCCCTACAACTGCCTCAAGGGAGGGTGTAGAGAGGTGGGTGCTGGTCTCTTCTCCCAGGTGATGGGGGATAGAACAAGGGGAAACGGCACCAAGCTGTGCCAAGGGAGGTTCAGGTTAGAGATAAGGAGGAAGTTCTTTACTGAGAGGGTCGTCAGAGGCTGGAACAGGCTGCCCAGGGAGGTGGTGGAGTCACCGTCCCTGGATGTGTTTAAAGAGCGGGTAGACGAGGTACTTAGGGATATGGTTTAGGGGGTAGACAGGAACGGTTGGACGTGATGATCTCAGAGGGCTTTTCCAACCGAGCGATTCTGTGATTCTGTAATATCAGGGAAATTCTTAAATGTTTTGTGACTAACACTGTACGCTTGTAGAAACAAGTGCAATGTTTTAATTACTGTGTTTTAATGCTCTCACTAAAATTGCCTAACAGTGCAAAAATTGTAGGATTTATCATGTTTACATCCTCTTTGAGAAATGCGTCAAGTTTTTCTACATTGACTTTATTACAATAGTAGCAGCAGTGTTTGGGTACTTCATGCCTCATTATCAGACTTTAACCTAGCACGTATTTAGGAGCATTCCTTGTCAGTGTAACGTGACTACAGAAATATCTTTCAACAGTCAATGATGAACCATCCTTTCTGCTTTTAAATACTCCAAACTGATAAATGAATGCATTTCAGTTGTAAAGATGTAGCTAGTGCAGTTACATTTTCTTTCTTAGTATTCTGCATTCATTTTCAGTAAGTTAATTATGTATTTATTACTCCTTTGTCTCCAGACAAAAGAAAATACTGCTTATTTTTAATTACCTTAATACCCTTTCCCTGGAATAAGAAATCTCCTTAATTGTAGTAAAGTTGTTGAATGCAATTTCTGTGTCCTATTGAAATAGGTGATAAAACATCTGCCAGGCAGGCAGTAAGCACTAAAATAAGCATTATATTTGCTTATTTAAAGTGAAATTAATAAGCCAGTTTCATCATGTTATAAATCATCTAAAATCACCATGGAATTACAAGAGGGGCATTCTGTGGCCCTTTTTTAGATTGTGGAAGTTAATATTTCAAGTCATTTGGACTTCTGTGTCTTCTCTCTCAGTTGTTTGTTCATTGTTCTGGTGGAGGAGGAAAGCCTGAGGCTCTGTTATACTTCAACAAGCATGCAAGATCTTGGAAATCTGGGCTGTCATTTCCACAGCTTGAGCGTTGATTGCTATTTAGTCCTGCTTGTACTTGTATGTGGGCCAAGAGGGCAGTCTTTACACATAAAATTAGAGCGAGGAAGTGAAAAATGCGTAATACGTCCTGATTTAAAATTTAGGAAACAATCTCAGCCAAAGCTGTGTCAGATGTGTGCGTTGTGGTAACTTGAGTGCTTCAACAGAGTGTACGTTTGTTTAAAATTCACAGCACAGATTCAGAAACTGTGTCTGGTTCCATAGAGTGCTGCTTTTAGCATCTTGTAGCACAGTTTTGATGGTGGTGCTGGCAATGAGATCTGATTTATGTCCCAAACTGTGGTCCTAACGTTTTGAGAAAAATACTTTTCCTTTTTCTAAAGTATTAAAATGAATAATTTCACAATCACAATAAATAACAGTCTAAGTGCAAACAAGTCTTGAAGCTTTTCTCACCTAATGTTAAAAGGTTTAATAAACTTGCCTGAATCTTATTTCAGTTGCCAAGCTAGTGTCTCAATAATCTGATGCTTAACCAAGATGATTTTTTATATTTATAATTGATTCAGTAAATGATAATACTCTGTATAGCATGTGATGGGGAATTTAAAAGGGATTCAGTTCAAAGCAAGGTGATTAATTAATGTCTGTTACTTTGCTATCGGTTCCATCCAGCACTTCTTCCATTATTACCATCCAGTCATTGCAGTCAGTTTGGACTAGATTTATTCAGATGCTTCCTCATTTCACAGAATCATAGAATCACAGAATCCCAGACCGTTAGGG